ACTCACATTTAGATGGATACACTATAGTGTTTATTTTTCATTAGGTATATCTCTGTTATCCGACCATTTCATACTTCATTGAAAGCAGTTTGAAACCATGCCCCAAAAGTTAACTAAACTAAGTGTACCCTTTCACCCAGTGATCCTTCTACTAGGTCTTTACTCCCAAAGAGATCAAAGAAAAAGGAAAAGGACCACCATATACAAAAATATTTGTAGCAGTTGTTTTTATAATGGCAAATAACTGGAAACTGAGGGGGTGCCCTTCAGTTGGAGAGTGTCTGATAGTATTTAAATGTGATGGAATTCTGTTGTGCTGTAAGAAATGATGAAAGGGACAGTTTGAGAAAAACCTGGAAGACTTGTATGAACTACTACATAATGAAGTGACCAGATCCAGGAGAACAATTTATATAATAATAAACACTGTAAAGAGCAACAACTTTGAAAGCTTCAAGAACTCTTTTCAACATAATGACCAACCAGTATTCCAGAAGACTCATGATGAAACATGCTACCCACCTCCTGACAGTTGAAGTGATAGGCTCGGCGTACAGATTGATACATTTTTTGGACATAGTGAGGAAATTTGCTTGATTATTGTCTGTCTGACTCTTTGCAACTCCTTTTTTTTTATTGTTGTTGTTCAGTCTGGGGTTTTCTTAGCAAAGATACTGGAGTAGTTTGCTATTTCTTTCTACAGCTCATTTTGCAGAGGAAGAAATTGAGGCAAACAGGGTGAAGTGACTTGTCCAGGGTCACACAGCTAATCGGTGTCTGAGGCCAAATGAAGATGAGTCTTCTTCACTCCAGGCCTAGCATTTTATCCACCATGCTACCTAGCTGCCCACTTGGTTGACCACACATTTTTGTTTTTCTTTCTTTCTCAATGGGGGTGGGTGGGTTGTGAGATGGAGAGATGGTTTCCTTTAAATAAAACAAATAAAATTTTATTAATCAATATGTATATCTGTAACATAATACAAATGGACAAGTTGGATGGATCCTGAGCTGAATAGAAAGAAGAGAGTGTACTGGATTACCTTTGCAAAATTTCAGAGCTCTTTTACTGACCCAAAACTTCACATGAAAACATAGGCTTTTCTTATCAATCTTAGTATTCTACATAGTGTTACTATATGCAGTGAAACATGGAATATAGCTGCTTCTAAATACTTAAAAATTAGCACAACACAGAAAGCGATAGAGAGGTACACAGTGGGTTGTGAACAGGCTGCACTATCTAACCATTGAGCAGTTGCAAAGAACAGGATTAAAAGGCTTCATCTAATAAATGTATGATAGGAAGAAAAGATGAACCGGTCACTTGGTAACCTGGTTAAAATCATTATTGACAAGTGGACAGTCACTGCTAACCTTGTAGTCTCAAGAGAAAGCAAAGAAGTCCAGCATTGGGTTGGACTCCTTGTGGTCTACTTACAGGAACATACAGACAAGAGTAACATCGAATGGGCAGGCAGGCAAGTAAATAAGTGATCTTCATATTTGGATCCTGAAATGGAGGTTGAGACATTTGAGCCGGAAGGATGGAGGGTAAAGGAGATAGGATTACAGCCAAGAATCACCTACCCAGCAAAACTGAGTATAATCCTTCAGGGGAAAAAATGGTCATTCAATGAAATAGGGGACTTTCAAACATTCCTGAGGAAAAGACCAGAGCTGAATAGAAAATCTGACTCAATTACAAGACTCAAGAGAAACATGAAGAGGTAAACAGGAAAGAGAAATCATAAGGGACTTATTAAGGTTGAGCTCTTTACATTCCAGCATGGAAAGATGGTATTTGTAACTCATGAGACCTTTGTCAGTATTAGGGTAGTGGGAGGGAAAAAAAATTATATGTGTGTATAGATCAACAGAGGGCACAGGGTGAGTTGAAGATGAAGGGTGATACCTGGAAAATAAAATTAAGGGGTAAGAGAGGATTATACTGGGAGAAGGAGAAAGGGAGAGTAGAATGGGGCAAGTTATCTGACATAAAGCAGACAAGAAAAGGCTTTTACAGTGGAGGGGAAGTGGGGGAAAGTGACGGAATGAGTGAATTTTATTCTCATAGGATTTGGCTTAAGGAGGGAATAACATACACACTCAATTGGGTATGGAAATCCATCTTGCCATATAGGAAAATAGGTGGGGAAGGGGACAAGAGAGCTGGGGGATGATAGAGGGGAGGGCAGATTCGGGGAGAGTAATCAGAAGCAAACACTTCTAAGGAGGGACAGGGTCAAAAGAGAGAATGGAATAAATAGGGGGCGGGTTAGGATGAAGGGAAATACGGGTAGTTTTCCACAGCATGACTACTATGGAAATGTTTTGCATGACTACACATGTATAACCTGTATGGAATTGCTTGCCTTCTCAATGAGGGTAGGTGGGGAGGAAGAAAGGGAGAAAATTTGGAACCCAAAGTTTTAAAAACAAATGTTAAAAAAAAAGTTTTCACATGCAACTGGGAAATAAGATATACAGGCAATGGGGTGTAGAAATCTATCCTGCCCTACAGAAAAATTGAAGAAGAAGGGGATAAGAGAAGGGGGGTGGCAGAGATAGAAAGGAGAGCAGGTTAGGGAAAAGGGTATTCAGAATGCATGTCATTTTGGAGTGGAGGGAGGGATGAGATGGGGAGAAAATTTGGAACTCAAAATATTGTGGAAGTAAATGTTGAAAACTAAAAATAAATAAATTTAAAAATAAAAAACCCAGAAGGAGAGATAGAAACAGAAACAGAATTTGAAATTCTCCCCTTCCCTCATCAAAAGTACATTTTAATATGTGTATTAACCTACCAAGGCATATTACAAAATAATTTTCAGAGGAATAAAGGAGGCTCTATATGAATAAAGCCCATACATGGGTAAGCTATGCCAATTTATTGAACATAATTGTAAACCCACTGAATTGAAAAAGCATTTATTAGCTGCTTACTATGTACTCAGAGCACTTGCTAAGCCTTGGGGGTACAAAAAGAAAAATGAGATAGTCCCTATTCTCAAGGAGCTCTCATTCTAATAAAGGGAGGAATTACCTATAGGAAGATTCAGCTTTAAATCAGATAGAAGGGTTCTATAAACCTTAAGGTATAGTGGCAAAGTAGATGCAACTTTGTTAATATCATTTCCATTAATAAAGCTATAACCACTTCTGATGTTGAATCATTGAGGCTGTAGCCCCTGCTCAGGCAGGTATCAGGTTATAACTCCACAAATGTTCCTCCCAAGGATGATGGCTGTGAGGGCCTGGCTGGAAATATGTAAGAAACTGCTCTTCTCCTTTCAGGAGGGCTTTTTGGCTTAATGTCCTGAACTGTCTCCACCTGAGTCTGAGGGAAAGTAGTGGCATCATATGACCTCCTTGAACATGCTGCATTCCCTAGGGCTCCTTGCTACTTCCACTAGGCTACTTGGAAAAGGCAAGAACGTTAACAGCTAAAGAGATTAAGAAGAGCTTTCTTTCAGTAGGTGTCACATGAGTTGAGCCTAGAAAGAAACTTGGGGGTCTAAGAGGTAGAAGTGAGGAGAGGGTACATTTTATACATTGGGGACACTCTACTATCTAAATATGCCAGCTTAACACTGCCAATCAGATTGCCAAAGGATGTTTTTATAAAATTAGACAAAATAACAGTAGACATGGAGAACAAGATAAAAAGCCTTAGGGGAAAAAAAGTAAATGGGGGAGGGGGTAATAAACATAATCTCAAATTATATAAAAATATAATAATTTTCAAAACTGTAAGTTACTAGAATTTTTAAAAGTTGATTAATAGGATATATTAGATAAGGGTTGGGGGGAAAATCTCAAACTATAGTATAAAAACAATAATCATCCAAACTATTTGGCACTTAAAAAAATAGAAAAGAATATGAACTACTTATGGAAGGATGCCAAATTCAACAAGAACTGCTGGGAAATTTTTTAATGTAATTTAGCAAGATGTTTATTTTTAGTCCTACCATTTACATACTACAATAAGTTCCAAATGATTGTATAACCTAAACAAAAAGAGTTTAAACAAAAGGATAAGGGAGAAATTCTACTCTCTCTCTTGTCTACTTGGCTGTCTAACCCACATGCTGGACTTCTTTGCTTTGTCTTGAGACTAAAAGGTTAACAGGGTCCACTTGTCAACAATGATTTTAACCATGTGACCAGTTCATCTTTCCTTGCTATCATACAATTATTAGATGATGCTTTTTAATCCTGTTCTTTGCAATTGCTCAGTGAGTTATTGTGTAAAGATAAAAATTTTTGCAGAAGCAAAATAAGACTAAAAGATGAACTGGGAAAAATCTATACACAAAATGCTTCTAATAAAAAAAATCTGACTTCTAAAGCCTATGAGGAATTGAAGAAAATGTGTAAGATTTAAGAGCCATTTACCATTAGCAAAATGGTCAAAAAATGTTAATAAATAGTACTCAAAATAAGAAATTTAAATTATTTTCAGCCACCTTGAAAAATTCTTATAATATATTAGTAATTGAGAAAGCAGATTAAAATAACTGTTACATCTCTCCACATCCAGCAAAATGGCACCCAAAAATTATTTTTAAAAAAAATTTTAATGTGATATTGGCTGGTCTGTGAGGAAATAGACACAATAATTAATTGCTGTTGAATATGTGAATTGGTTCGAGCGTTTTGGAAAACAGTTTGGAATTTTACAGTCTGTCCAGACAAGACTCTTGTATAAAACTTCTCCTGCCTGGCTGTTTGAATTCTAGGTATCTAGTCACCCATGAAGAAATTCATTATAGTAGGTTTGTTTTCAGAAAAGAATTAGATCGAAGAGAGCTTTTGTAATGACCTTTTACTGCACACTAGTAAATTTTAAAAAATTTGACCATAAATATTAATTGCAAAAAATGATCTTGTAAACTAATTAATTTCTAACATATGCTAATTTTATTACTTAACTTGTGGGGAGAGGGCTCTTTTCGTGTACATAAAAATTATCTAATCTTTCCTCTTATATCTAGGTAGCCCTCTTCACTTGCACTTTGAAGCCCTTCTGAAAGAGGACCGACTAACATATGAAGCTCTGAAAATGTCTCCACTTATTAAAGGTTCACGAGTTCTCACAGCTACATACCCAGTGCTAACACCATCTCTCAGCCTAACCAGTAAGTTCTACTTCATAGTACCTTCAGACTGACAGAGCAAAAGGAGGGAATTGGTACTCATCCTTTTTTCCCCCTAAGCAAAACTACTTGACGCTAATGGTTGCTTTTCAATCATCTTTACTCCAAGAGTAAACTTATCTACATGTCATGACAGCATTTCAAGCAAGAACAATTGACCCTTGACCATAAAATGTGTATCTCTGGTTATCACAAAATTCTTCCTTTAGTTTCATCCTTGTCATGTTGTGCAATGTCTTCTGAAGTTTCTTCTGGAGTCTTTCTTGGTCCTTCATTATGTCTCCTGCTTCACCTAATGCCTTTCTCCACAGACCCTAAAAACTTGAAAACCATCCTTCATCTTTCTGCCATTGGAATAGTAATGTTTGTTAGATATTGACTCCTCCTCCCTCCCCTTATCTTCCAGTTCTTTTTCCTCCTGCTTTTTTCAGTCTCTTCATATTTATTGACTCTTTCTCTACTGGCTACGAGCATGCCTAGTTTTCCTGTGCTCTTGAAAAACTTCACTTTTAAGTCTGCTATGCCTTCAAGCTGTCCTCCTATTCTTCATTTTACTGCCAGACTTGTGAAGAGAAGCATCTGCTCTTACTGTCCTACTGTTTTTTTAATTTAACTTCTTAGTGTGGCCTTTATTTCTTAGACCAATTTTAAAAATAAAGCGTCAGGTTTTAGGATGGTTTTTTACTGAAATATTTCATCTACAAAGTGGGTTAATAGTTTCAGTAAAAGCTTTTATTTACAAAAACTAAACAGCTTGAAAAATGACTGGTAATTTTTGCCATACTCCTGGAGTACTGTAATAAAAATATTGTCACATTCCTAATTTAACAAGTTTCCAAAATATTTTATATGAAGCAATACTTTAGAAAATTATTCAAACTTATCTAATTAGTATTTTAAAACACAGTAAACTTTTTTCCCCTCTGTTGTCCTTTGGTCAGTTAGGACAATCAGAAAAATTGTATGAAAGGTTCAGAAAATTGGTGACTCTGGATATTCAATATTGTCCTTCAATTTCTTTGCGTCTTCATCTGTTTCTAGACTGCTTGTCAATTCTTTTTCCTGATCATTGTTTTCATGATCTCTTTTAAGAGGCTGACTATGAATTTGTAACAGTCGTGCTTTCTTGGGTGATCTCTGGTTCCCTAAGTCAAGAGATTTACGCTTAACTCCACATCTTGTTTCATCATCTTGTGGAAAATTGAGGCTTTCTAGCATCAGCGTTAATTTGCTCACCAGATGAAATTTATGGTCAGTGTTACAGCAGTTTCTAGAAATCTGCCTGCCTTTCAAACAGACAATACATGAACGAAGAAATCTACAACTTGCGAAAATGTCCGTAAAGCTTGACAAGAGAGGAACATTCTCTTGTGTTTCCAGGTCACAGCTTGTTACCTCTGATACTAGAGTCTTTGCTCTATTTCTTGCTGCAAGTTCTTCGTTTAGTCTATATCCTTTATTAATTTTTCTACTAATTGCTCACTGTCTAATACTTGAATGCGTATTTCATTTAATTCTTCTTGTATAGTGGCATATAGTTCTCTTATCTTCTGTTCCTCTTTTAAAGTTACATTTTTATTTTAAAAATTCTGACCTATGTGCATGGACTGTTCAGCCAAAGGCAGTGGATGTGCAGGAACTCAACACAGTCTTATATCCCTGTGGCTCTAACATACCCAAGTTGGTTACCACTGAAGGCACTTTATGGAAAACTCCTTCCTGAGGTCTATGTAATGCATGATCCAGCCTATGAATGGAGCAACTTTCTGTGGCTATGCTTGGTGTTAGTAACAGAAAAACAAGACCCTGATTTAAAAGATGTTCTTGTAAATTTTTGTGAAGAATCCTTTCTCGAAATGTCATCATTTGGTCTGAATTACATCTGAATTTGTGCCATCCAATAACATTCTTTTTGCAGCATGGGATGACCTTCTTCAGCTCCTGCTCATTTACCTCACATGAGCTGAAAAGCTGATAGCATGAAATGTACCTTTGTATGTCAGTTGTGTAAACAACTTCAACATCATTTAGTTGAGAGTCTGTAACACTGTTCTTGGCTTCACCTTTCACTTCCCCAAGGAGAAACCTTCCCCGAGATCATAGCTGATGTCCTCTCGCCCTTCATTTCTTCCCCAACCTCAGACTTCCAGCCACCCTGTACATGCAGGCTCCCTGCCTGCTATCCTACTTCTATACCTCCCACTCAGTTTTGACCCCATTGCACTTTGGTTTCCAACTTTACTCTTGTACTGAAACTATGACCTCAGAAGTTATACACTGTCTCTACTCAAAAATCTGATGGCTTTTTCTCAGTCTTCATTCTACTTCCTCCCTCTCCCCTTACAACTTTTTACTCTTACCTCCTAGGTACTTTCTTTCCTAGCTTTTATACCATTGCCATACCCTGATTTTTCTCCTGACCACTTAATTTAGGTATCCCCTAAGGTTCTATCCTTGGCCTCTCTTTTCTTTCCCTATACCCTTTCCCTCATATATCTTATTTACTCCCATGCATTCAGTTATTTCTACACAGATGACTACCAAGTCCGTGAGTCTAGCTTTGAACATCAAGGGGAGGAAATTGGAGTATATCCAGATTGAGGCAGTATGATTATGATATAGCTCCAAACATGACTTTAAAGCTTTTCCTTCTTTTTTTGTGTGTGTAGAAAAAGTACTATCTCTGCTGTGTTTAGAAATGGTCCCTCCTTTTCAGAGGTTCCAGAATGCCAGTTAGTGGCAAGCAGAGTGTTATCTGAACCTCTACTTCTAGACCTGCACTTGGGGATCTTTGAGTACAGTTATTGATTAAGGAGAACGGAAGTATGAGCTTGGAATTCTCCTGACTTTGCAGCAAGTTTTTCTGATAAAATTTTCATTTCTAAGATGTATGGGGAACTGAGTCAAATTTATAAGAGTAAGAGCCATTCCCCAATTGATACATGGTCAAGGGATATGAATAGACAGATTTCAGAAGAAGAAATCCAAACTATAAATAGCGAAATGAAAAAATGCTCTAGATCACTAATAATTAAAGAAATGCAAATTAAAATAATTCTGAGGTACTGTCTCACATCTATCAGATTGGCTAAGATAACAGAAAAGTAAAATGACATATGCTGGTAGGAATGTGGGAAAACAGGTATACTGATGCATTGTTGTTAGAGCTATGAACTAATCCAACCATTCTGAAAAGCAATTTGGAACTATGCCCTAAAGGCTTTTAAACTTTGTATACTCTTTGACTCAGCAATACCCCTATAAGGTCTATACCCCAAAGAAATTAAAGAAAGAAGAAAAGGACCCATATATACAAAAATATTTATAACAGCTCTTTTTGTGGTGGCAAAGAATTGGAAACTAAGGGATGCCTATTATTTGGGGGGGGAGGTGATAATTAAACAAATTATGGCATCTGAATGTGATATGGGATGCTATTGTGCTATAAGAAATGATGAAGGGAATGGCTTCAGAAAAAAAAAACTAAGAAGATTTGTACAAACTGATTCAAAGTAAAATGAGCTGAACCAGGAAAAACAATTTGTAAGTAACATCTATATTGTGAAGATAATCACCTTTCAAAGACTTCATAATTCTCATCAAAACAATGACCAACCACAGTTCCAAAGGACTCAACAGTATAACATGCTTTCCACCTCCAGATAGAGAACTGATGGATTCAAGGTACAGATTAAAGCATATTTTCTTCTCTTTCTTTTTCTGTTTTTGGAATAGCTAATGCCATTTATTTTGTATGGCCATACGTATTTGTAATGAGTGTTGTTTTTCTTCTTAGTGAGTGGTGAATGGGAAACGAAATTCAGTACTAAAAATAAAGTAAAATTGAGTAATTCGGTACTAAAAATAAAGTAAAATTGAGTTAGTGGGGAAATTTTTTTCCTAACTTACTCGAGATAATGAAGATAAAGGGTCTTAGCCATGAAGCTAGGAACTGTGAGGCAATTTGGGCCAGTACGGACATTGATCTGTGAAGCTATCATAAAATGAAGGGGAGGACCTTTTCCATGAGTTTCAAAGATGAAAGCAAGAAAAATTTAACATATGGTTCTAGCCAATGATATGGGCATAAACTTCCCAGAAATTTCAGGAAGAGTGTCATGAAAATGACCCTAGGGAAGATTTCTAGTCTTCATCTCCCTTCTTGTTTTCAGTTTTTATATTTATGACTTGTTTCCTCCTCCCTACAAATGTACTCAAGTCACCCCATTCTCAAAAAATCTTCACCTGACCCTGTCATCCCCTCATGCTCATTTGCTATTCCTCCTTCTTTTCAAGAACTTTCTAGAAAAAGATGTTTCTACTTCTTGATTTCAGTCCTTCACCTTCTGCTTACTTCTCAGCCCGTTAGTCTTGCTTCTGAATCTGCTACTCAATCAAAATTGCTGTTTCCATTGTTACTGATGATTATTTTGAACCATCAGATTTTTTTTTTTTTTTGTAGAGGCATTCTGCAGACTTTTTTGATTGGAGCTTTGTATTCTGTATTTAGGAGTTCTGTGCAGTTTACTTCTATTATTTCTTGCATTACTTTGTTTAGGTTTTTTGACTTGTCATGTTCTTCAGGGAGGTATGATACTTAAGTTGTTGCAGCATATCTTGTCTCTATGATCACTGTGTTTCACTTGTAGGGGAAAGGAAGAGGAAAGGGAATAAGCCTTTATAGAGCAACTGCTATGTGCCCGGCACTATGCTAAGTTCTTTACAAATATTATTTCTCTTAATCCTCACGACAGACCTGGGAGGTGCAGGTACTTTATTTTATATTTGTCATTTTACAGTTGAGGAAATTGAGGCAAACAGAGGTCAAGTGCCTTGCTCAGGGTCACACAGCTAGTAAGTGTCTGGAGCTGGATTTGAGTTCAAGTCTTCCTGACTCCAGGTTCAGCACTCTATCCACCTATATAAAGATCCTGCGTTCTTTTTAAAAAATTTTGAAATTCAGTTTTATCTTCAATTCTAGCTTCTCCTCTTCCCCCCACTGAGAAAATAAGAAAAACAAAACCCATTACAAATACGTGTAGTCAAACAAAAAATTTCTCCATTAGCCATTTCCCCCAGAAAAGTATATACCACAGTCCATACTCTGAATCCATCTCCTATCTAGCATTTTTCATCAAGTCCTCTAGAATGGTTGTTGAATGCTAGATTGATTAGAGTTCCTAAGTCTCTGAGATTGTTTGTTGTTGTTATTGTATACATTGTACTTCACTTTGCATCGGTTCATAGAGGTCTTCTTAGGTTTCTCTGAAACCATCACCTTCATCGTTTCTTATAGTGCAATGATAGTATTACACCACATTCATATAGGATAACTTCTTCATCTGTTTCCCAATTAATAGGTAACCGCTCAGTTTCTAGTTCTTTGCCATGTGTTTTTTCAGTGTTACTACGTTTTACTTCTTCCAATTTGTCTTTCACTTCAATATATTTGTACTCTAATTTGTTATTCTCTTTTGTTTCTTTGGAGAGCCTCACCACTATGAATTTAAATTTTTCTACTCTGCTAATTATTGCTAATATCCTTGCCATAAATTCTGCTACTTGTTCCTTACTAACTTCCCTCCTGATTGTAATCTCTTTCTTGAACCATTCTGAAATATCTTGCTGCATTTCCATCTTTGCTTAGCAATGAGTTCTGCAGTTTATTAGGCATTGGTTCTGTTTCCTTTGTCTTGCAACATTTATTTAGAGAAATTTATAATCTTTTACGTATCATTGCTAGTCTTCTGATTTTAATATTTACCCTGTTAACTTATCATGTGTTTTAACTTGTGTACTTGACTTTTAACTAAATTTTCTTCCTCCTGAGATCTTGGGTGATTATAGTCTTTTTTTCTTATATTTCTCTGTTGCTCACTTTCTGATTCTTCCCCTCTTAATGTTCAATTTACACTCTAAGACTGCACTTCAAAGATGTGTCAGTCTCCTCCTGTATTAGGGAATTTTATGTATAACAGATGGAAGCCAGTCTCTTTTCCTTCAGTCCAGGTGGCCTTCTGCTCCTGTTCTCTCCATTCTTTGTTACTCTAGAAAGTCTGAGTCGGTGTCTGCCCTTTTTGTAGGCTTTGGGAAGGGCAATAATGGACATTCTTGTCAAGTTCTTGGGCTTCCTTAAGCTAAAGATCACCATAGGCAATGCATTACTCCCTTGTTTTATACTTTCCCTTTTTCTACTCATGACTGGGCAAAGTTAAGGTCTTCTGCCTCTTGCAACTGGCCCTTGGTACAAGAGCAGGAATGGAGTATATCAGCAGAATTTAAGCAAGAGGAAAATCCCTGAGCAGGTCTGAAAGCACTGGCCCAGGGGTTAGTTTGTGCATATTGAATAACATACAAGCTGGTGGGGGAGGAAAGGTACTGAATTCATAAAGGATTAATGTTCTCTCCTGTTAACTCCTAAAGCTGATATACCATTTATTTGGTTACTTGACCCATGGTGACAACTGTTACAGCTTAGCTAAAAGAAAAAGAAAATAAAATCAGTCTGGGAGGGGAGGAAAATAATTGCAAACTAAAGGGTTGGCTAAACAAATTATCACTTACGATTATAATGGCAGTAAATGGTTTCAGAGAAAACAGGGAAAATTTTTATCAAATGATGCAGAGGGAAGTGAACAGAACCATGAGAAAAATTTGTAACACAACATCAGTACTGTAATAAAATAAAAGAACAATTGTGAAAGACTTAAAAACTCCAATCTGTCTACTATGCCATACTGCCTCATTGCAGCTAGTACAGTATATACACTCAGACTTTTTGCATGTTTATTTTTGAAGCCGTGGATCAATGCAAAATTTTCATTTTAAAATGTTATGTTTTCTTACTTTGAACCTATGATAGCTTGATTAACTTCCCCTTCCCTCTTGCTCTCTTTTTTTATCCCATTTGTGTCCTAATTATTACCCAAACTCTTGGCTATATCCTGAGCCACATCAAGAAGCAGTAGTTCTACAAGGCCATATTCATTTTATTAGTTTTATCTTCATCTTTTTTCTGAGCCATTTGCTTTTCATTTTTGTTTATTGAAAAAAAATTGATAAATGCTTCTGTAATTCATAGATATTCTCGATCTACAGATTCACCTCTTAAGGAAGGAAGACACATTAAAGGATCAGCAGCCAGCCCTAGCATGTTTGCCTCCAGCCCACAGACACTGAAACCCAGTCCTTTGGAGCACAATCTGTCACCTTATATTGTTGATAGTTCTACAGCACCATCATCCAGCCAGCCCTCAACCAGTTCTGCCTTGGTGAGTCATGGTTAAAATTAAAATGGCCATCAAATAGATACAGTTATAGTCCAGTTTCAGAACATGAAAAGGTTTCTGGGAATATCCATGTAGCCATAACATTGTATATAAAATTTGTTGCTGCCTTGGTATTAGTCCACAGGTTAATATTCTTATAGGCATATATTTTTTAGTCCTAACCTGTGATGTCATCGTTGTGGAGAGTCCCTGTGAGGGTCAGTATGGCATCTTTTCTGCAGCTTCCAGCCATAGAGAGTTGCCGAGGGCCCTGAGAAAGCAGGGACTTGTTCGTGATCACACGGCCAGTATATGGCAGGGACAATACTTCCTGACTGCAGAACCACCCTTTCATTTGCTTCTTTTGCCTACAAAGAAGCAGGGATTTGAATCTCCATTTTAGTAACTATGTACCTCACTATTTATTAACTATGTTCCTCATATTTAAGAATCTATGACTGCTCCTTGAATTTCTGTCACTTGTGATGAAAACTGTAATGTGGTGGTAAGAGTAGAGATGTGCTTTTCCCTGCTCTGTTCCTCCTCACAAGTCATAGAACGTTTTCATTTGTGACAAAATTGGAATGTACACAACCCACAACAACCTGCCAAGTCCAATGGCTGGACTTAACCCTTTGCCTATTTGGAATTGACATTTACGTGTGTCCTGTCCATGCTATCCATGATTATCCACTCTGACTTGGTATCCCAAATAATAATTGACTTATATTACTTTAACTTTTGCAAAGTAATTATACATATGATCTTATTTGATCCTCATAACAGCCCTGTGAGTTATCACATTTATATTATTATTCCCATTTACAGATTAGAGAACTGAGACTCAGAGAGGTTAATTGCTTTGTCCATGGCCAAACAACTAGTACGTGTGAGAGGTAGTATCCCATTGCTTATCTCCACTGACTTCAAATCTAACACTCTTTCCATTATGCCATGCTACCTTTTAATGTGAGATTTCTATTCCCCAGTAGATCCATGGTCAAAGGATGCGAACAAAGTTTTCAGAAGCATTGCAAATTATTAGTAACCACATTTTTTTAAATGCTATAAATCACCAATAGTAAAAGAAATGGAAAGTAAAGTAACTCTGAGGTTTCAGTAAGATGACAAAAAACAAAAACAGTGAATGTCGGAGGACCTTTGTGAAGATAGACACTCTTGTGCTGGTTGAGTTGTAACTTGATCAGATTATTTTGGAAAGCAATTTGTAATTATGTAAGACAAGTTACTAAGTTTGTGCCCTGTGATCCAGTAACCCTGATATTGGGCCTATACCCCAAGGAGGTAAAAAACATACCCAAGGAGTCCTGACATCTACTGAAATATTAATAGTGGAACTTTCACAGTGTAAAACTGAAAACAAAGTAAGTGTTCTTTTGGGAGGAAATGGCTAATTAGATTATCACAGCATTTCAGAGTAGGAAAGGACTTAAAAAGCTGTCCACTCCAAACCTGTACCCGAAAAGAGTCTGCATCACAATGTGAAGAGACAAAAGTTCATCCATCCTCTGTGTAAAGACCTCCAGTGAAGGGAAAATCCACTGCCTCCTGAGACAGCCCATTCCACTTGTGGGTAGCCTTAATTGTGAGAAAGTTTTTCCTGTCATCCAGATTAAACTTGCCTCTCTGCAACTCCCACACGTTCCTCTTGGTACTTCCCTCTAGTGTCAAACAGAAAAGTCTAATTCCTCTGCCACATTTCAGCCCTTCAAATACTTGAGCACAGTTATCATCCCTCACCCCCCCACCCCAGTTCTGTTCTTCAGGCTATTCATTTCTGTTTCTTTCATCTGATTCTCATATAGCATGGAATCAAGACTTTTCACAGTCCTGAGTGACCTCCTCTAGCTTATCAGTGTTCTTGATGACCTGTGGTGGCCAGAACTAAACACAGTATTCTCCATGTCTGTCCATGGCAGAGTACAGTGAGATTATCACCACTTTATTTCAAGGAGCTGTACTTTTCTTAATCTAATACAAGATCATGTTAGCTTCTTTTAGCTGTCCACCAAAATCCCCATATCTTTTCCAGACAAACTGTTGTCTGCCCATGCCTCCCCCATCTTATTTGTGGAAAGTCAGGTTTTTTTAATCTACCTACAAAACTTCACATTTATCCTTATTAAATTTAATCTTAATAGATTCAGCCCATTATTCTAGCAGCTATACAAGCAGGCCTGTCAGGATCTCTTTACATCCTAACTAATGAAGTATGTTAACTATCCATCTTGGCTTTGTATCTTATTAATGTAATGGAATATTATTATGGAGGAACAAGTAAATCTGAGAATTTCAGAAAAACATGGAGTGACTTAAAGGGACTACTGCAAAATCAAGTGAACATTACACACAATGACTGCAATCATCTAAATGGGAAAAAAGGAAAAGAAAAAAAAGAAAATCGAGTCCTAAGTAAGTGTAATAATCAGTTTTGATCCTAGAGAAGAAACAGTGAAACCTTTAGCAGCATGTGTAGCCATGTAGGAGAAGAATGTCGTACATACTATCAGATGAGGTCACTATTGATTTTGTTGACTAAACAGTTTTTCTTTGTTAAAAGGAAGCATTTAAATGCTGTGTAGAGGGCAGAAGATGCAGGGCCCAGGGACTTAAAAGAGAATAAGCGTGATACAAATACAAAAGTTGAATAAAAAAAAATTTTTTGTGGAAATCTGTGAAGACCTAGAAACATATATCTGAGTTTTTATAATGTCCCTGCACTTTAAATACAAGTCTTCAAAATCAATTTTAGATTGGGCCAACCAGTATCACGCTACAAGGCATCTTGTCAACTCCAGTAATTTTTTTTTTTACCTGTTCATTTAAGTGTAAAAAGAGGTCTCTATCAGTTATTATACCGCCAAGCTTTTCAACCACCATTCTAGACACTAGTAGTAGCTAGACTCTCCTCAGTTCTACAGGGGTAGACCCATGGGACTCCTCAGCCATTATATTGGCCCTCTTCAAGTTTAACTCAAGAAGGTGCTGAACTAGCCTTTTGTTTCCTCACAGACTTCTTCCAAGTTCTCCTATGGTTCTCTTAGAACCAATTTGTCAATTATGAATTGAAACAATCAGCCAAATGAAAGCACAAGTAGTAGATAAACTTGCTAAATCATTCTCTTAGCTCTCACATCTAATTTGTTTATTTGGTGCTAATGTCATGATATAACTTTTACATTTCTGCTACGTGGGGCTCATACTGAAGCAAACCTCAAAGAAGAAGCGGTCAGAAAACTCCTATGATATCGATAACATTGTGATTCCTATGTCCATGGCAACTGCTGCTCGAGTTGAGAAATTACAGTACAAAGAGATCCTGACTCCAAGGTAAAACAGTTGGTTTGCAATTAAAAAAAAAATGTGCTTATTAATGGTAAAGAAGATACCATTTATGAGAGTGGTATTGGTGTCACTGTCTTTCAGTAGGAATTTAGAAGTGGAATAATGGGATTAAGTCTTTATCTGTGAAATGACAAACCCGCTATCTTAAGTAAAGGTATTTCTATTTGACCCAGAATTCTCACAAGAGAATATAGTCATCAGTAATTAATTGTCTATCTTACAGATTGTCATTATCTTGGTTTTCTTCATTTTGTCACCACTCTTTTAGGCTATTTCTTTTATTTTCATCTCCTTGTTTATTTTCTGTTTTGTTCTCTCCCCTTGTCAAAACCTAACTGTCCCTTTTGCTGCTTATTTTCTAAATATTCGTCGGCCAATTAAGGAATGACTAAATTAAAAATTTTAAATTATGTATTTATCATTTTACTTATAAGGGCTTCTTATCTTTAATTAAATGTTCCATTCTTGTTCTTAATCATAAAAAGAATGAAAATCATTGTGTTATCTATATTACCATTGAAGCACCAATTGACGAATATAAATATTTGATCTATAATCAATCCAGAGTGTGACCTTGTTAGTGAAGGTTATACTTAGCATAAGTCATTTCTTGAAGAAACTTATCACCCTAGAGGGTGGCCTGATACTATCTGAATTGAATTTAGTTGGCAGCTGGCAAGTTTATTTTGGGTTGGCTGAGGGAGGCCAGGGCTGGGAGTTCATGAGAAATCTATAACCCTGATGAATTTGGTGGATTTGTTTAAGGGGTCCTTCAATAAGCTGAATGTTTAGCAATTTTCCACAAAGCCTTTCATTCCTCACTTAGGCTTCCTATTATCTCAGTGATGAGATAAGATAGATATTATCTCAGGCCTGAGAGGAAAGAGAAAAGATAAGTAGTGGTGAGAGGCCCTGAGCTGTTGTTTTGTTATAGTAATCCTTCGTGTTCTCTTTTCTTTAGTTGGCGTTTGGTTGAATCAAAAGAACAAGAGACATTAAATCAGATGGATTCAGAGGTAAGAGTTAACAACATATATTTTATTTAGCATTGGTAACATAGAGGGTTTTTCTTGTTAGTTCTTCCTAACAAGGATGTACGGTGGAACCAGAAAACCTTAATTCATATACTTATCTGCTGCTTATTATTTGTGTGATATTAGGCAAGTTCCTTAACCTTATTCTTATTTTCTTCATTTATAAAATTAGGTAGTTGGATTAGGAGACCATTAAGAACCCCTACACCTTCAAATCAATGATATTAAGAGCCAATAAGTGAAAATTGGATGGATGCCTTTCCTCAGCTAAGTTAGTTTATATATTTAAAATACAAAATTACATTAAGATCTTCACTCAGAAACTGGCTTGCCAAACAAAAGCAATTCATTCAACCCTGTTACATATTTTTTTAGGTTAATCAGTAAGTAGCTAGAACACAAATGAAGGTAAAACATTGCTCTGTTTGTTTCGTTTTCTTTTTAGGATTTGGGGGGCAGGATTTTGTTTGTTTTGGTGGTTGATTGGTTGGGGTTTTTTATTTATTTTCTTTTCCAGAAAAAAAAATGCCATTCTTTCTTCAGGTGAGAAAATAATAGCAAGGTGGAAGCAGTAATAGCAAGCGCATGAATATTTATGTTCTTGGCCTCTGCTCTTTTCTTTATAAAGTCAGGGCTATTTAAATAAACTTAAAGTGGGTTGGCAGAGGTTGCTGACAAATACTAACCTGTTTCTTAATTGTGTACTGACATTTTTAAGCACATAAGTTATATGGGTTTGAGACACAGGAGGCCTTGAAGCTGAATTATTGTATTCTTCCTGGTATCCCCATTTTACAGTTGAGGAAAGTGAGTCAGAGATTAAATGACTTGTCTGGAGTCATGTAGTTATTAAGTATCCAAGTCTGGATTTGAACTTAATTCTTCCTGTCTCCAAGCCCAGTGCTCTATCCTCTGTGCCACCCTGTTCCTGAATACTGTCAACTGCATATGCCCTGTTCACCCTTCTGGCCAATGTAAATTTTTTAGCACATTGATAAACTTCAGTGCTCATAAAATAAATCCTGGTTGGCAAATAAGAGAATCATTATCAGAGTTATGTTCTTGTGTTGACACAAGAAAGCAGTTGGCAATTGATCAGAGAAATAGTCATTTAAGTATATTGCTTACTTTCATTTTCCTTGGTTTTCTGAGTGTGTACCTCTCTTCTCTATAAAATGTCAAAGCGAGTAACTATTTTGTTGATCTTACAGTACAAGAGCACCTAATCTTACTCTTTATCAAACTCTGCAGTTTTGCATGTGTATGTGAACTGTTTAAAATGTAAAGGCAGTTACTTCACTAGTCACTAAGAGCCCTCTAAACCAAGAGCTTTAATATGAGCCAAGCCTTCGCGTGGTGTTCTCCTTGGGAATGACCAAAACAAAGTCAGAAAGCCCATAGAGAGGCCTGAATTTAAAGTGGCACTATAGTTTGTCATGCTGATGGTCAAATCTTTATACCCCCTAAAAGTTCATTCCTCCTTCATCCTCTAATACCACATGGTCTCATTAATGGAGAAATGAAAATATCTGCCCTTACTTATAAATCAATAATATAAGGATCTGTAAGTTCATTGGTCTGGGTACTCCCTCCCACTAACAACACAACCCTTATATAACTTAGGCCTCTTAAATTTCTACAGCCAAAAAAATTCATGACTATGTAGTCAAAATGTTGCTGAACCTCTCTGAACTTAGCTAGGCTGGTATTGGACCCCTTCTCAAAACTTTTCCAGCTTAGGAGAATATTGCCAAGGTCTACATTGCAGTGACAGAGCCTTCAAGAATCCAGGGTCACCTCTTCAATGCAATGAGGTGTTAGGATATGACGTGAGTAGGACCATATTGTGACACCTTCTGTATTAGTGTGGTGCTCCTTAGTCATAGGTTAGAGATCAACATGAGCAGAAGTAGTCTTCATCCACCCACCAAGGTTTCCAAGTGTTTACTCCTCTTTCATAGTTGCTCGCTGGTATGTATTTCAAATGATGATTGTTCAGCTCCAGTGGACTTGTAGGGCCCCCCTGTATCTGCTTTTTTGAATTGTCACTGACGTGGCGGCAGATGTTTTAATACATATTGTGGTTGGTAGCACTGTGCTCACAGTATATGTTAGTTTTCCTGATGTAAGATCGTGTGCTTTATGATCCAGAGAATTTTGATATTTTGTGTGTCATCATTGTGACTGAATCTGATTGTTTTTTCTTTTTCTTAGTTAGAAGACACATCTGATGATGCTTATCGGAACCGTCACACCAAGTATGAGGAGCTCGAGAGAGCACGCTGGGATTCCTGGACAGCAGCTGCTATTTCCCATAGACGAGGGAACAGGTAAGTTTTAGTGGGAAAAAATGAGACTGTAGAAGTCAGTAGACCTGGGTTTTAATTCTGGTTCTGTCACTTAATTGTGACAGTTAATTAGTTGTAATAGTCTATAATAGTCACTGAACTTCTCTGGTCCTCAGTTTCCACATCGTTGAAAATTAAGGTGTTATAAGATTCCAAACTTTTGTAATATGCCTAGGGAAGAAAATCCTAGGGGCCTAAAGCGACCAGATATACCTATATAAATAAAAGTTAATTAAAATAACACAAGAAAAAATAAGATCAAGGTGTTTGACTAAATGATATATAAGTTGTAAGCTCTTCTAGTTTTAATAATGTGATTCTAGATCTAATCGAATTTTCAGTTTGTGAAGAAAAGCTTGTTTTGGGGTTTTTTTCCCTTAGGTTGGTAATAAAATTAAGAGTTGTCTGAACAACTAATTATGGGGTTTTGTTATGAATAATCTGATGGTGATTCCCATATTATAATTTTTAGCAGATCTTCCAATAAAGGCGAAGGCCGAGGAGCTCAGCCTATCCCTGCAACAAGCCTAGTAGTGTCCCAGCCAGTATCTCCAGATACAGCATATCATAATTTTAATGATCTGGCCCATTCTTCCACTGGAACTTCTAGCCCTGAACCTTGCAGCTTGTTGCAGTCTCTTTCCATCAAGGACAGGACTCCAGTGCCATCTTCTTGCAGTGAAGACACCTGTTCCACTACCACTGATATTGGTGATGATGCAGCACAAGTAAGGATTACCATTGCTTCTCTGAAGTTGCAATATTTCAGATAACTTAGGTGGCACTATTACCACCTCTAGTATCTTCTTATGGTCATTCCCTCATGAAGAAACTATCTGTTGTTGCTTTTACAAGTTCAGTGCTCTATAATTGCAAATGCTGCAGCAAAAATGTGTTTAGTATCTTCAATCTAAGCAGTTGCCTTGACCTCTGTTTTACCTTACCCAAAACCAAATCAAAAAGGTTTTAAGGATGAGCTCTGAGGATGAGAGTGTAAAAGATGGTCATGCCATAGCTGTTTTAAAGTATATATTGCCTCTAGATGTCTAGAAGTTTAATTCCCATAGTGTAGAATATAGAATGACCTCTTTGAGGGCAGGGGCTTGGTTATTTTCATCTTGGTGCAATACTTAGTATAGTGCTTTGCACATTTAATAGATGCTTCATTAATGAGTATTGCTATACTTGGTTTTGGAATTGTGGTCATCCTCATTGCATAGAATGGGCTAAAATCTCTGACCCACCCAAATTTTATGTCTCCCAGGATAAATGACCAAAAGACATTGCTTGTTTCCATTTATTTCTAAAGTTAAAATATAGTGGTTTTAAATTGTAGCAATATAAAGACTAAAAGATAAAAATGTTGGAAGTCTTTCTCCATTTGTTTTCACTCCTCCCCCACCCCCGCCCTGCCTCTATTGTGTGCTTCACTCTTTGTTGATTTTTTTTTGTCTTTTTTATATCCTCTCATTACTCATTCTTCATATCTCTCCCTCTTCCATGACTGTCCACACCATTTTACCGTAGGATATTTTTAATTTGTTATATTGGTCCAATAGTTTTTGGTTGCCTAGCTTTTATAAGTAATTGGTGCTGTGGCAGCTAGGTGCCACAGTGGATAGAGCACCGGCCCTGGAGTCAGGAGGATCTGAGTTCAAATTCAGCCACAGACTCTTACTAGCTGTATCACCCTAGGCAAACCACTTAACCCCAAATGCCTCAAAAAAAAAAAGATTAAAAGTAGTTGGTGTAGTTTCTTTATAAATCATATCACTTTTAACTATTTTACTGTAAGCTCTTTACTTAAAGTGGAGGTTTGGTTTTTTTTTTTTGCTTTTAAGAAAGTTTGATCTTGTGCCCTTAATGCTCTTTACCTCCCTGTCTCGTAGATAGTTCAACCCTGGGAGCGCCGTACATTTCCTCTTTCAGACATATCTTGTCAAGCTCTCTTGGATCAGCCTAATAAGCTACTGCCTCCTGTCCCAAAGCCATGGTGTTCAAGCAGAAAACCCAATCCCAGGACTCAAAACAGCCCCCCGGAATCTCGCCCTATTCCCAGCAGTTTGCCTGAAGGACATTGCCAAGCCAACAGCAACAGCTGCATAGAGGAGTTCACAAGCCATGAATGCTTCTCATCTAGGCTTCTGAAGAACAGATGATGCCTTGGGTTCCCATGACAGGTGCTGTATCACATGCAGGCTCATCTACTTCTGTTCAGTATCCAGAGCTTGGCAGGTGAGCTAGCCCAGCAGAAGGGAGCCCAGGAGTAGTCACTGCTGCCCGGGAGACCAGTCATAGGTGGACTTTGGGCTTCCCACTACCACAGGTAGGCGGGTTCCAGGATAGGCGAAGTGTGGAGGCACTTTTATGAGCCTTTGAAGTACAGGGAAAGGACCTGTGTAGTTTGGGAGAAACTCATCCACTTAAAGAGTTTGGAGAGAAGGAGAGAAGGTCTGGCTGGTTTTGAAGACCAGCAAGTTTAGAGCTATGAGGGCTATGGCCCATTTTAAAGATTAGAGGAAATTGGAAGAACCAGATTGGAAAGAGTGGATATGCCTTTTGTAGATTTCTGGTTCTTGGGCATCTCAGGGTTGGTGAGTATGCCCAAGAACACTCAGGCAGCTCTCAGGGCATTTAGTCTGTGCTCTTGCATATAAGTAAGAAATAGAGCCACTTTGCAGGGACAGACAAAAGCCATTGCAGCCTCCCAGTTTTTTGGGGTTTTATATATGCATTCCCAGGGAGCTGATTACAGTGCAGATGCAGGTGTATGTGGAGGAAATGTAGAACTTCAATGGCTGTTCTGTTCCCATGGGCTCTGGGTTTTGTTTCTTTGTTGTCTAGCATAAACATGGCTTCATGGCTCCTTAGAGTAGATGAAGGTCAGGGTCTTCGATGCACATGGATTGGGTTTTATTAAGTTATCTAGACACTTGATTCCAAATTTCTTCTAAGTTCCATTGTTTGCAGTTTCTTGTCTTGATAATAATTTCCCCCAGTCACATCATGATTTAGATGACTGGAGTTTCATATCCACAGTCTCTTTGGAGCCATCCTTTTTGGAAAGGAGAGCTTCATCTGTATTGAAGATAACAAGTTAAGTTGGTAAGACCAGTGAAGTTAAAGAAGCGGCAGATTTCTTGGTAGATGCTAGAATTAACATGCTTTCTTCAAATCCCTGCAGGGAAATAAATGGGTTATTTAGCCATCTGAGGAGAGTCTTTGTAGCACATGATTCTCACAGCTGTCCAGAATGGAACACTCACTTACACATGCATGTCATGGAGCTGGATCAAGGAGGATTGGAATGTCTCTGTCTGAGAAAATTACCCTCCCCCCATTTCTTCTGTTTACTAGTGATGATGATGATGATGATGATGATGATGATACTATTCCACTACACGAAGAGATCCTTTAACTTATGAAAGACATCAGAGACAGGCTTCTCCTTTCTTAGTCATGTGATTGATTTGTGATTCCTTAATAACATGGCTTAGGTGTGGGCCTGCCCGAAGGCTTTGGACCTTTCAGACTCCTTTAGAGCCCTCTATTTCCATAGTAGTTCTGAAAGGGACCAGTATTATTACTATATCCCTTTCTGATTTCACATTACTGACAGTTCCTATGAGGCTTTTTGGAAATTAATAAAATTAAAACCACTAGTTAGGTAACAGACTTCCTCCCCATGTCTAGACCCCTTAGTAATTTACACATACTGGGTTCCAGATAGCTCTATTATTTGGAGAGATATGCCATGTCAATTACATTGTTGGTATGTGAGACCCACCTAAGAGATGTATTCTAAGAAAGCCATGGATTCTTCAGTAAGAGTGCTGGAATATTTACTGACAGATATAGGTGTTTCTTTTGCCCTGTAACTTAAAGATCTGTCTCTTATTGTAATAGGAAGAGTTTCCCATCACCTGCTTTTCAGCACTACCAAACTATCCACTTTCTTTCCATATGTCCAAGCACTCAAGCCACAAGTTCCCTAAGTTAACCCTTTTATTAGTTCAGTGGGAAAATGTCTTGAATTCCCATGGGACAGTCACTTTTTATTAGCCTTAGCATGGCACAACAGCTCTGGTTCTGCAAATCTCTGGCCATTTTTAGGCTGTTTTTAATCATAACATTCATAAAATCTGTCTAGCTATCCTGATTGTTTCAACCAGTTGACAAATAATTAATGTTACATTTCAGTCCCTTTCACCCTTACCTACTGTATGTATACATTTGTCCCTTTTTGGTGTAACTGATTTGTACATACTTTATACCCTTATTTTTTATTTTGTGTTCCTTTGGATGTGTGAGAAATGATCTGCAGATGAAACACAGGGACTGTTAGCTGCTGTAATGTCTGAAGGAAGCAAAGTGCATTTCAGTGGCAATGTTACAAAACATGTTTCACAATAACTACTTCAAAGCGCTTTGTGCTCAACACTAAAGCTAAGGAGAAAAAAAAAATAAACATGTAATTTACTGAAGTGTTCCAAATGAATCTTTCTTCTGTAAAATCTTTGTGCCTTAATTTTAATTAGGGGTCTTTTTGTTTAAGGTGGATAAATTATCTTAAGCAAACAGCTATATTTTAAAAACTTAATTACATGACTAATCATTTCTTTGCTTTGTTACTTTGGAGGTAAAGGGATATACAGCCAGGCTTCATTTATTACCAGTGTTCTCCTTTATTCAGTAGAAGTATGGAATGAGTCCACAACAGGCCCACTGACTGAATCTGATGGAAAGGTAATGAAATACATGACAGGGGTAAAGAGCTATGAGCTCTTGAAAGAATGCTTGTGACTGAGTAAGGAAAATCCTTTTTTTTTTTTTTTTTTTTTTTTAATCTGGTTCAAGGATAGGGAGAAAGGCTTTGTTTTCTTCCTTAAGCAAGGCAATTGGGGTCTGTGTAGGCAGGACTTAGAAAAGGAACCCAACAACTTTTCAAGAGTATGTTATATTTGGCCTATACCTCCCAGTATTACATCACCAACCCACTGCATATCCTTCCAGATGAAGGGCGTGACATAACTGGACTTGTTGAGAAGACTTGAATTCAGATCCTGCCTCAGACACTTAGTAGCTTTGTGACCATGGACAAAAAACTTAATGTCTCTGGGCCTCAGTTTCCTCATCTGTAAAATGAGAGAATTTGACTGAATGGCTTCCAAGGTCTCTTCTGGCACCAAATCTGTGAATCCATTACTACTATAATATCAGAGGGATTTCCGGGTCTGTGTATCATAGACCTGATAATATAACTGTAATACTTTACCCTCTGTGATACACATTATTTGGCCACAAAGAAGTGGCGTCTCCTAAAAGTATTTCCAGGCCAATATACTTCACGGCCTTTTCCATCCTGAAACATTCCTGTCCATTTCTAAACTTATCACAGTATCATCAGATGATGGTAAGAAGTGTTTTTACATAACAACTGATGCAAAACCAAGAGAGATTGTGCTAGTGAAAATGAGGAGACAGCAGGGAGAAAAATGTAAGCCTCTGAAAAGGGAATGCTTCATTATGATGGGAGAAAAATAAGCACAAAGACGTGTAACCTGGAGATAATGGCCTTTTGAATGTCATGGCCAAGAGTCCAAAGAAGGGTCACAAAAGATCTGTGTCCATGATAGCTGCTGAGCTGATTTCCAAAAAGTAGACCTGACGAAAAGAAAATGAATTGACAAGAGGATTTGAACAGGCTGCCAGCCCTAGTGTATTGCAAGCAAGGATAGCATACATGAGCCCCTGAGGTATTCTTTTTTTTTTTAATTTCAGAAATGCTTTTATTAATTTATTTTAATTTATCAATAATCACTCCATAAGCTTTTGAGTTTTACATTTTTCTCTCCCCTTCCCTCCCCACGACAGCATGCAATCTGATATAGGCTATACGTGTACATTCCTATTAAACATATTTTCACATTAGTGATGTTGTAAATAAGAATTAGAACCAATAGGAGGAACCACCAGGAAGAGGAAACAAAACACAACAGAAGAAAAAAAAATAGCAAATAGTATGCTTCGATCTGCATTCAAACTCCATAGTTCTTTTTTTTCAATGTGGATAGCATTTTCCATCATGAGGCCTTTGGAGATATCTTAGATTCTTGTATTGCTGAGAAGGGTTAAGTCTATCAATATTATTCGTCGTACAATGTGGCTGTGACTGTGTACAATGTTCTCCTGGTTCTGCTCACTTCACTCAGCATCAGACCATACAAGTCTTTCCAGGTTTTTCTGAAGTCTGCCTGCTCATCATTTCTCACAGCACAGTAGTATTCCATTACATTCATATACCACAGCTTGTTCCTTTATAAGCCCCTCAAATACCAAGCAGCTGAATTTGGGCAGTTGACTCAAAAGGGAAAGAGTTAGCAACATCACCTGATAACGATGAAAAGGAATGAAAAGAAAACTTAAGACATTCGTACACAATCAGAATGAAAACAAAGACACCATTCCCTTATGAATCCACTAAATTAATTCCCTTTCTGGCTGTCACCAGTGCCCCTCTTTTTCCTTGACAGCCTTCAAGATTAATATTGTTCTCTGGAGCTTTCTTATCTTTACCTCTTCTTATATTTCCCTGTAACATTTCTACCTTTTATACCTTTCTACCTGATATTTGCATTTGGTTTCATTAACTGAGGCTGCTTTTGATTATCACAATCAAATTTTACTTACATAACATTAAAAAAAAATTTAGATAGGACTCCCTTTGTCCATACAGTTTAATTTGCCCCAGGCCCTTCATACAAATAAAAGCCACCTTGGTAGTGGTACACACAGAAAAAGCACCATTTAGACCTTCATAGAAGTGTTGGTTAAGTAAACTGAGTGACTTGCTTGTTGGAAAATATTTTCTGAGCCGTTTCTTTTTTTTCTTTTTTGGCTAGGCAGTGGGGTTAAGTGACTTGCCCAGGGTCACACAGCTAGTAAGTGTTATGTGTCTGAGGCTGGATTTGAACTCAGGTCCTCCTGAATTTAGGGCTGGTGCTCTATCTACTGCACCACCTAGCTGCCGCTGAGCCATTTCTTTGTGGAAGAAACATGGTTATTCATTCACAAAGACCCTTTTTCAGGCAGAGATATGAAAGGAAGGGACTAACAAAGGCATTAATTCAAATAGCATAGCAAGAACAGTATATACAAAAACATCCTCCCATGACCTGCAGTGTGCTCCCTCACAAATGCACACTTTAAAGACATTTTGTGAAATATTAGTGTCAATTTTTTTTCCATTTGGTCACGTAACTGAATAATTTCATATAAGATATTCTCTGGCCCACTCGGCAAACTACTCGTGTTTACAAAGGGTCTTCATGTCATTATTTGGTAAGATCTTGAAATCAGAGGTTTCATCAGGCAGCCATGAATTTAAATTTATTCCAGTTTGTTTTTTTCTTCAGAAACTCATTGTAGAATGCCAATTTTTTTTTGTTTCCCTCTTCAGTAAAGTTTTGTTTGTTTTGTTTTGTTTTTTGGTGAGGCAGTTGGAGTTAAGTGATTTGCCCAGGGTCACACAACTAGTTAGTATCAAGTGTCTGAGGTTACATTTGAACTCAGATCTTCCTTACTCCAAGGCTAGAGCTCTGTCCACTGTGCCATCTAGCTGCCCCTTCAGTAATGTTTTGAACCTTGATGGTGATTATTACCTCAGTTTTTGCTCCATTGTTATTCTTATAGCATTATCTGGCAATAAAAAGATAACCAGTACTATGTTATCTTTCTAAGTGAAAAAGTTGGGTAATTTCTTCTACATCTGCTGAGATACCCAGCCTCTTTTTTGTAGTGGCTACATGTATACTATATAAGGTATAACTATAAAGTAAAGAAACCAATTTTTATGAACAATTTTGTGGGAATTAGTTCAGTCATCCTCAAAGGATGTATTTAGACACGTTGAGTTCTTGCTAAGTATGCTGAGAATGTATGAAACATAGACTTGCAATTGAATGGCCTGCATCTCCCAGCTCTTTTGTAGCATTCCAGGAATCCTCATAGCAAGGAGCAATACTGTACTATGAACAAAAACAAGTTTGAGAACCTCTAGTCATTCTAAATACAATGGAGTATTTTCCTTCTAAGAACCATTGTACTGTAATACTGACTCTGGGATGTGCTCCAAAGGTGGGATCTTTTGTGCATTAGGTCACCAGAAGGGTAACTACTCTCAAGGTTCCAGGGGTAACCCTGTGGGTGTTCATAAGCACTCACCATTGCGCTTCTCATTAACAACCAGTAGACGTAATTAGCTCCTAACAAAGGCATTAATTCAAATAGCATAGCAAGAACAGTATATATAAAAACATCCTCCCATGACCTGCAGTGTACTCCCCCACAAATGCCCACAGTCTCTGGGGAGAGGGTGGGCACAAACTTAAAAGTACAGCTGAGGCACACATAGAAGGAGCACTCTCACAGGTCTCTATATCCTTTCTCTCTTCAGAAGGTCCTCATGAAGTTCACTGCTGGGTAAGATTGTTCCAGTGGTAGGCTAGGTTTTGCTTCTGGAAGGGCAGCTATGATCTTCACTCCCTTCAGCTTCAGGCTGGCCTGAAGTCCTTGGCTCAAGTACTGTTCTGCTATTTCAGAAAGAGCAAGAAAACTTCAGCCTAGGATTAGCAGAAGCCTGCCCAGTTCAGTCTCTCAGGGCCTGGACCTGCCATCTGAACCATGCCATGTCCCAGACAGAAGGTATAAGAGCAGAGATTTTTAGCTTTTCCTTTGAGTAGGTCTTCCTGATTCTGGACTAGATACCCTCATTGCTGAACCTTACTCTATCTTAAAATGACCATCTAATACACTTCTTAAATCTTCATCTCAACAGGATGGGCTGTGTCTTGTTTTGTTTTGTTAATTCTAAGATTATCTCTCTGTCTACTCAAATGAGTGGTTTGGGAAAAGGTACTGGGATACTCTATACCTATGCCTCTGATGCCTATCCATCTGTTTCCATGTCTTTTTTATTTGCAAATAAGCTACTGAAAGCCTCACATTCTTAACTAGGGGTCCTTTATAAGGTGCAGATTTATCTACTCTTTCTGAACAGGAATCATTCTTTACATTTCTTTATCTCTACAGTCTACCCCTGATCTCCTTTAAATTTGTCAAAACATGAAGGGGGTATCTTAAAACAAATCTCAATTTCAAGTAAACACTTGAATATTTTTCCAGGTAGTCGTATCTTGCAGCAAACTTATCTGAGTTATTGCTACTGTGACATACTGAAAAGAGCTACTGGTTGGTAAGACTTTGGGGATCAGGCAGAATTGAACTAGATAGTCTCAGGGGTGTCTCCAAACTCTGATATTCTCTGAGTATTGGATATTAAGTGAGAAGACTCTGGTCTGAATCCTCTCTGAGACACTTTTTAATAACTGTGACCTTGGACAAATCATTTAACTCCTTAGGGCTTCAGTTTCCTAATTTGTAAAAAGGTGATAGTAATACTTGTTCTCACAAATTACTTAAGAAAGACATCTATT